ATTTAGACTGTCAGCAGATGTGCTTAGAATAAAATGGACACGTAAAGTGTATTGTATTTGTCACTAAAAATACTCCTTTGAAGCTTGGGTGTTCTAATGTATCTGTTCCTTCAATATTTTTCATATGCTTTATAATTCACAACAAAATAACTCCACTGAAAGTGCATATTTTGCTAACTCATTTTTAATTGTAGTTTGAAATCTTTGAGAGCTGCTTGTACCATGTTTTGGTTAGTTTTGGTTTTTGTTCTGTTTTGATACTGTGAGTGCACTAAGCATTCTTAGAGCTGAGCTAACCTTGGATTTGCTCATGGAGTCCCCATGGTCCAATTATGTCTTCATAATCAATAATTGCTCTTTGTTCTTAAATACTGTGCATCTCATCCAGATTTGGCCTCGTATTGCTTAAATAACCACAAAATACTTTAAAACTACATAGGAGTTAAGTTTGAGCATTTATATTAATAATCTTAATGTGGATAAATTTCTTCTATTTTAAATTAACGTATTTGCTCTTGTTTTAAGCTGTTGTAACAAACCATGGCTTTTAATACAACAGAGGGATGGCTCAAACTCTGCAAGCATCTGTGCCAAGAACAGGTGCTGTTTCTAACTGGACTGAATATAAGATGCAAGATTTTTTTTCAGTTATTTTTCTTTTTTTCTCTTTCAGTGCTAACTATTCAGTTAATACAAGTGTATGTACAAGTAAATTTATTTTAATTGACAAAAGAAGGTGTTAAAACTCATCAAGATAGATTAGAATGATGGTTTGAAGGGCAGGGAGGAAGGATTAGGGACTTCTTAGAGTTTGCTTGAAGGCAAATAAGGCACTAAACAAGGCACTTTCCAAGGCAGTAGGTGGGCTGGGATGTGGCAGCTGCATTGAGCTTGCAGCTCAGAAACTCTTATGTAGGTAAAGAAGCCAGCATTCAGTGCAGGATGGCAGGACATGATGAGATGCTTGGGTTTTGAATACATACTAAGTTGTTTTGAGTTTCTGATGGGCTCATTTTGGCAATTGATAATTGCTTGGTTGGATAACCAGCTGTTAGTTCAAAAGGAAATTTTGCCTTGTTAAGTTAGTAGCAGCAAGTCTATCTTCTTTTGTCAAGTGCTGCTTCATCTCAGTGAAGCTTGATTTCCATCTGCAAGAGGTAGAGATCCTTGCTTCATACAAGGAAGGCTATTAATTTTGTTGTTTGTTGTGTTACTAAACTGGGGTGGGCATACTATACTGTGGGAAATATCAAGGATACTTCATGTCTGAAGCTTTTCTGGCTTGAACTTTATGCCGGTGTGATTGGAATAACATGAAAATTGTAATACTCTTCATGATGACCATCCAGCTTCAATATTCAATTTCGATCTATTTTAACCCAAGGGTTTAGTCTCTTTCTGATTTCTTTTTGGACATTTAATTATGTCAGACATGCAAATCAACCAAAATGATTCAGCCAAGTTTCTAGAATGTATATGGAGAAAACTTTCTGTTCATAATGTTTTTAAGTGGAGCCTGCAAGAAGTGGATACCTTTTATTTAAAAAGTCCTGGTAGTACATGCCTTGCAGGAAATATATAAGCATTTTTCAGGTGGTGTCATCTATTAGAACAGCTGAAAGGCCACACTCCTGATGGAAAATCAGTTAAGATTTGGCCTTTTCAGTGCTTCTGAAAAATGCAATGAAAAATGACAATACCTAAGCTAGTTGTGACAGACTTTTTCAGGGAGGCAGGGATAGGAGCTAGGAAAACTTGCCAGTTTCCTTTGGCACCTGGCTTGCAAAGGTTTTTGATTCTTTTGTAGACAGCATGTAAAATGTGGATACTGAACACCAGTGAAGCAGGGAAACCTGTGAGCTGTTGCCAGAGGTAAAGATGAGATTAGGAGATGAATTTAAGCAGGATTTGTTATATTAGGAAAAGTGATAATGAGTCATGATAAAGTGGGAAAATAGTAAAATAATGGGAGTCTCAGAAAATGAGAATAACCTGTGCCACAGTTTGGTTTGAAGTGAACAGAAGGATTTAGTCTCAGACATGTGAACCAGCATTAAAATAAGAAGGGTACACAATCACTTCTATTTACTTTTGCTGCCATTACTCAAATGACAATTAGTTCAAACATCCAGAGAATTTTGGTGTGTGTATGTGTATATATATATATATATATATATAATTCCCCATTATGAAACCAGGCGTTGATGTTTTAGCATGTTAGGTATTTTGATTCCAAAAATGAAACCTAAAACTTGTTGAATGTTGAAAAGAGAGCAAAACAACAAAAACAACAACAAAATTTTAAGAAGAACTCTAAATACAGGTCAAAAAGCCAAGCACTCATCTGTGTGGGTGGGTACACTTGCAAAATCTTGCTTTATTTGCCTGTATACAAATTTCTTCTCCCAGTAATCCTTCTGAAATTCAGTGTGTGGAATGGGTAGTGCTTCATTAGACTCGCTTTATTCTTTAGAGAGCAGAGTAAATAACACAAAAAGCAATGAGATTAAGGTTACAAAGGCAGCTTTGATTTTGGCAATTCAACTTTCATTTTGGCAATACCTAATTTTTATTTCTTGTCTTAGCAAACTTAATGAGTTGAGACTTTGAATTTTTTAATACAGCTTTTATTTTGTGTTGTGGGAAATATGTTGGGAATTTACCTTAATATACTACAATAAATGACCAGAATGCTATCTTCTTTAGCAGTATGTACTGTACTGAGTTACTAAGTTCTACATTGCTATACACTATGTACGTGCCATACAGTACATGGCTATATAAAAGTTCACATATTTCTTCCTTAGGTCCTGTGGCATACAGACCCTTTAGAGTTATGGGCTTCAGCTCCATCACAACATCCATACATGTATTGGTGGTGTCTTGACTGAACCACGCTGGTGTACACTGAATTGGAGAGTCAGGTAAGTGTTTATTTATGCTTGAATACAGCAAATGAAAAAAGCAGTAAGATTCTTAGATATTTTTTAATCTGTATGTGGTCACAAAACTGGAAATTTATCCTCCCTTTTCTCTTGATCACTAGAGACTCCAGAATCCAGCAGTATTTGTAATCTGATGCCTGCTGTATCATCACATTAAAAGCAATGGGCAATTTAGTAAATAAGGCTCAGTGACACTGGGTGAGGAAAAAAATCTTTGATTTTTTCTTTCTGTAAACAGCAGTCTGTTGAAATGTCTCACATTATCAAGTTCTGCTTTTTACAAATTATCTTCAGAGTTGTTACAGCTGTTTTGAGATTGATACATTTATATAACAACATCAGCTTTTATATCTTGTTTGTAAGCTTTTGGGAGGGTGGTGAAAGGTATTTTAGTAGTTTTTTGCTAGTATAAAAGCATTAATAGGCATACTATGTCAGGACCAAACATTTGAGTCAAATTTAGTTATTCTGTGCCAAATGATACTTGCATGGTTGAAAGTATTTAATTTACTCTGAAACAAGCACTGGATATCTTCTCAATCATGTAATGGGCTTTTTCCTTTCCTAGTTTTACAAAGTATGATATATATTTAAAAGTGTATGCAGCACTGTATTTCTTAAGGTTTTGTCTTGGTTTGACATTTCACTGATCTTTGCATTAGTCTTAACAACATAATTAGCATTTTATGTTATTTTAGCAATTTTTGGATATTCATAACACAATGAAAGTCAATTCCTTGCAGCATAGTAGCTGTATTACGTAAAAAGGTTGGTTGTTCTTTATCTACATGTATTAGGATCACTGGAAGTTTGCCTGAGGAAACTTAGAAAAGACAGTAATGTTAGAAATATGCATTGTATGATAAAGCTTTTATATGAAAAATACATTGTAATCTGGTAAAATAAAGGGATTCAGATCAAATGAGAAACCTGAAAATCATGTTTCTCCTTAATGCATTGTCATTTTTAAAAAGAAAGGGATATTTATTGTCATGCAGGTGTGTCAAACACAGTAGTGACTTTTCAAATGCTGTCATTTTTATGATTGTAATTTGTGCTTACCTGATTACCTAATTTTGTTTTTATCTTTCATTGTGTTGAGCAGCACTTCAGCAATTTTATAATGCAAGTGTGCATCCAATAATGATAATCTGTACTTCCAAGATGTGTGTGAATGGTAGTTGATCATTTCTATAAATCACTTGCCTATTCATTGCATTTGCAGTGTACACAAGAATAAAGAAGGGCAGCTCTTTCTTCAAAATTACTTTAACTTGCTTCTCATTTTGTCCTACAGGTTAAAAAACCCCCAAACAATACAACAAATGAACAAACAAAAACCAACTCAAACAAACAACTTTTCATGGGAAGCTCTATTTTATGTGTGTTTCACAAACAGCACAGAATGAGGATCAAGATTTATTTTCTCAACAGCTTTTTCTTTCTTCACCTGGAAGCTTCATATCTGACTTTTAAGTCTTTCCATCACTGATGGTATTATAGAATACTGGTATAGTGTATTTTGGGTTTCTTTTTTAATTAGTTTGCTTAGGGTTATGTCTTAAATGGAAATCCAGAGAAGAGTTGAAGGAGCATATGGAATTACAGAATTGCTAGTGCCCCTTTTTTCTTCATTTCAGGATCAAGTATTCAAAACCAGACATCAGTTGAGTGAACATCACAAACAAATCCATCATGAAGAAGCACCAAACCCACAAATGAAAGAGAGGAAGAGAAGAACAAAGTCTGAAGAGAATCCTGTGTGTTTCAACACAAAAGCAACTTGAAAGTAGAATTCAAGCTAATTTAAATGCAGTATCTACATACCTACAGTAGGTATGATCTGTATTATAGCAAAACTTTGTTTTGTTTCTTAACTGCAGAATATCTTGTTATCTGGCATGTTTATTTATTTGCTGATTTACTTACATATTTTTGTAAGAAAGTTGCTCTTAGATAGCCTGAACAGAAATAAAAATAGCTACCTCCTACTTGGTTTGTGATGGTACCAGTCTTTGGAATAAATTAAGTATGTGCTGGTCAAAAGGTGCAGCTAAGATTTTCTGCTATAGTTTGTTCCACACAATAACAAAGCACAGCCACTGAAATAGGCTCTTTCAGGAGCCAAAAGAAGTGCTGTGGGACTTCTTGGAATGGTGCAAGTTAACTAGGTGAAAAAACAGCTTCCTTTGAGTCATGGCTGCATTTTTAAGAGGAATATTAACTGAAGCATCAATTTTATCAGTTAGTATAAAATTGTACTTCTCTGGACTTGTAAGAGTTAACACCAAGACTTTGCCTGGCCTCAAGTGCATCCTTTTTCCAAAGAGATTTTGAGAAGGCATTTGATGCAGCTGCCTGTCCATGAGTTGACATTACAAAATATTTTGATAGCTTTTTTAATACTTAAGTAGAGAAGCTTGAGTACATCTCTTTCTCTTGGTTTCTTCTAAGTATGTGCATTTGGCTTAGGGTGTTTTCTCTTTTTTGTTGTTGTTTATGGCTATACATGTCTCTTACGTTATCTGAAAACATTTTTGCAATAGTTTAACTAAAGAAATCACTTTCTTAATTTCACAGTTGTGTATCATAAATTAATTTAAATCGTCAAAGATTTTTTGCCCAAAGACTTCTTTATCTCACTGTTTTCTAGGACTTTAATTGTCTATGCTGAATCTGGCTTTCCTCATTTGAAGTTGTTATTGCTCATGTGGAAAGAAATAAATACATGTTTTAGTCACTCTCTGATATTAGAATAATAAAATGAATCCAAAAATGGAATTTGGGTTCGGTTAGTCAAAGGCCTAATTGCTTGAAGTGAGCTAGAGCATTTTTGTTAGTAAGTTGGGAGCAGATCGATGTGCTGATGATGTACCTTGCACATGGGCATCTGTCTTCTGGCCTTTTTTAAATCAAGTGGTCAGTTAACAAAGCTCATCAGTGGCAGAAGTAAAAGGTTAGGCACTTTACATTGTTACATCATTACAACTGTGACTTGTGAAACAGTGGAGTAGGGAAATCCAAATTTTGTCTGAGGTTACATTTGAAATGTGAGATATGATGTAGGCACTACTGCTCTCTTTTGAAAGAAAAAGGAACTTTTATGGACTGGGTCTCTGGAGCTCTCCCTGGAACCGTGGACATTAAGAATTTATTTGAACTTTTCATACCTACTTCTGGCTCGAGCTTTGCTTGATTTTTGTACAGCAAAACAAACTTCATGTCAACACTGTTCCTTTCCTACAGCCCCCTGAGGTGCAAACTCATAAAACTGGCAGGAGCTGTATTCGCTGCCTGCAGCTGTCTTGTAATTCTTTCCACTAAAGGCCCTGTCCCCACAGTAGAACAGGATCTGCTGGGAATCACAGCCAGCTCAGTGGTGTGTCCAGCGACACAGATGGAATAGCTGATGGCAGAAGGTGTAAGGATAACCCTGCTGTGCTGACTGTGACTCTGAGAGCTCAGGCTGTGCCCTGCACAGAGTGCCAGAGCAAGCTGCCTCATTTCCTTTCATCGTACAGTTGTCTCTCGTTATGCCCAGATTAACAGATGCACATGGGAAGTGTGTTTTAGAGTCTATTCATACTGTAAAACTTAAAGGAGTTCCTTTAAACGGAGAAAAATCTGCTGTCAGGAGGTTACCAGCAAAGTGTTGGAAGCAGGACTTGGAAATCCAGCTGTTTTCCTGGCTGTCCTGTGGCGCTTTGTTTGCTTTCCACCAGGAGGGGGCAGCAGATGAACAACATCACACGGGCTGTTTTCTGTTTTTCAAACGCTTCCAGTGTCCCTCTCTGCCTGTGAATCCTAGCAGGGACTCCTTACCGATGTGAGAGTTTGAAATTATGGTTCCTACCTGTTTGCTACAAGGATAGCTGGAATGTATGAATCAGAAGTCTTTATTCTGTTCAGTATTAAGGAATATAATTTATTTATTAAAATCTACCTCAAGTTTATAAAGAGGGCAGTTCTTTATTGAGACTTAAGATTTTTATGACTATGGCATTAGGTGTATATATATTTTAAAGGATAAAATAACCAAGCAACCCTAGCCCATCAGCTCATTAATGTTACCTAAGTCTTGCTGAACATCTTTCAAATACTTACTTTTGTATTTCAAGTTGCATATTACAATTCAAAATAATGTTCTCACAGCCATTTTTCTCCCATCAGAAAATAAAACTGAGAATACACTAAATCTAGTGATGCTTTTCATTCATGTGTAATAAAAGTGTTCATGTACAAGGATGGCTTGTGCGTTCTGCTGGCAGAGCTTGGGAATTAAAGGCCTCAATTCACATGTAGTGCTAGTGGTGCTAAACAATATAATAACCAAATTTTATTGCCTTATTTCAGCCACAAAGTGCAGTCTTATCATCTAAAAGCTTATGGTGATTATAACCTACTATTGTGAACTTCTTGAAAGTGTGAGGCTATAGTTCTGTTTAAGATGTAGATTAAGTAGTTAACAAAAAGCCACAGAGAGAGGGCAGTCCAGTCCTTTTAGCTGCTGAGTTTTATCCAGTAGTTCATATAAAGAAAGGAAAACCATGGTGGCTTCTGTGAGTATCAGCTGCCAGTGTTCAGAAGCTAACTGGGAAGAATGAAACTAATTCCTAACAGGACTGATTAACTGATATACTTGTCTTGATGATTTTCATTAAAATTGTGTTGTAATATGTGTGGGATCTTTATGGAGCCTAAAACTTTATCAAGTGACATCTTTATTTTTTTCTTTTGTGGTGATTTTCCTCTTTAAAGATTACAAATGTTTAAGAGAAGCGGAAATAATTTCAAAGATTTATTCAGAATGGCACAACTTGCCTTTCAGAGCTGGCTTTCATCTTGAATCCCACTGTTTAAATCACAGATTTTTCCATATAGTCCCCATGGTTCTACTGAGGTCACTGATTTAGCACCTTCTATGCATCAAACACTTAAACAACTCCCCTGAGTATTTAAGTTCCCTCATGCAAGTTCAGGGCTTTTATTCTTTGAGCAATCTAAGCTTTAATTTTCTAGTGCAGGAAATCCACACAAATAACTGAGGATTAAATTCCCCTTTTCCTCTTTCTTGTTTTGAATACTGTTGCATAAAATAACAACTGTATGATTCACTCTTGCTTTGTGTAGTAATTAGCAGGAGGATTTTACAAGTAGAAGCCTTGAGTATATATAGTATAAGCTAATACCATAATATTATAAAATACTTCATTTTCAGAATAGCTGGACTTGAATTGCCTTCACAAATGTGTCATGAAAATAGCTCTGATTTCCTTATAGAGTGTTTAAAGAATGAGTAATCCTGTTTATTGCATCTAATACATGAGTACACTACATGTATTTGGGAATGAGTATTGACTCAGGTATTAATTACTTGCAGTGTTTTGAAAGGACATTGTTTCCTTTTGCTGAGTGCTGGTCAATAATCTAGATAGATGTGTAAGCACTTTTTAAACCTGTTATAGTTGGTTTTCACAGGACAAGGATCTTAAACTTCTATGCTTGTATTTCTCTCTTTGAAAAAGTGTGTTAAAGATGTGACTTAACAGCATTATAGACTTGTGTTGAATTTTTGAACAGCCAATGCTTCCTCTGTTGTTCCTGAGGAACCCCTAAGCATGGTGAGAGGGATAATACAGAAAATTTGGGATAGCAAATCTGTAATTTGCATCAACCTTTTCAAATGTTTTACCATTTCCCTTCCCAGAATCTTCTCTTTGTATATTAGTACATTTGTAATTTTCATGTGGAGGTTTTTTTCCCTTTTTAAATAAATTTCACTTGCAGGCCTGAAAGAGTAACAGGTCATATAGCAGAGACAAAAAATTTCAAGAAAGCTTTGGTGGACCATTCAAACATCAGAACAGAACAGTCCAATATGATCATGTTGCATTGTGCAGAATTGGCTTCTAGGAAATTAATTCAACACAGCAGATGATGTCATTTTGGGAATGTAAATAAATAATTGAAAGATAATAAACTAGAAACTGAAGTATTTCATTGTAAACAGGTGTGATAAGAATCTTTGTCCTCTTATCTTTCCCACAGTGGTATTAGTCTTTCCTAACTAATACCTGTAATACTCATGATAAAAGGCATAAAAAGCCTAAATTAACACTGTAACTGAGAAATGTAATCCCTTCAGACCACTTACACAGGAAGACTAGATGATGATTTTCCAGCTGTGACAAGGTTCATTTCCTTTCTGACAGGAAGTATTCTTAATAGTTAGCTCTGCAGAAACACACAAGAATGCGTGCTGTCATCACAGCCCTTCATTGCCAGCACTGGGAGCAGGGAACAAGGTCTCTCTGACACAGCAGGTGCAAACACATACAGGTGGATTGCATGGATGTCCTTTTTATGTTACCACTTCCGTAAATTGCTCAGGGAGGAAAAAAAAGTACTCTTCTCTTGAGTATTGAGTGCTGTGTAAGAGTGATTATTTTGTGACATGAAAAGGATTTCTAGAGAAAAGTGATATTTTTTCCCTACTGGTAGTTTTCTCTCTTATGTTGAATATGCAAAAACCAAGCACTGTGATCCTGATTTAACAAAACAGGTTAATTTTAAACAATTTTTAACTGATGGGTTTTTTATGGCAATTAGGTATACTGATCTTTAAGGATTTGTTTGATCCTGGTTTGGAATTTGTGTTCAGAAGACAGCTATTTAAAGATATAAAGACTGCAAAGACAAGGACTGCTTATATTCCTGGCTTGTTAACTGAAAAGGGTGTCTTTACTAGTTCAGAGGGATGTGGACTTTAACCACACCTTTTTTTTTCTCTTCTGGTATTCCACAGCCATTAATTAAAAGATTAATTATAGAAATTA